CTGCAGCTTCAGCTAAAGGTGCTGTTATACCAAACACAACTTCCTTAGCCAACTCCTTAGGAAGATTAATGGTTTCAATACCTTCTGTAGAAAGATTTGATTTGACTTCCTTTGCCACATTTTCTGGAGTCGTAAAATCCGTACGTCTCTTCCTTTCCAAAGGTTTTGCTACTTTCCGCTTCCTTGGTCTCCTCGGTTTCGGGATGTCATTAACGATTCTCTCACTTGAAGTCATTAAAAAAATCATACTTTCTGCCAATAGATTTTCGTAACAGAAACACACTTTGTTGTTCTCATCATCCTAAAAAGCTTAGCGAGTGATACGCTTTAGAATATTAAAGTGGTAATTACAAAAGCTATAAAAGAATAAGTATCAAAGTAATTTTGAGCCACTGGAATAAGGAGTAAGCAAACCTTAAAATCTTTGCCTGCTTTCAACGAACTGTCCGTTGCTATTGCGGAAGAACATTCAGAAGCCTGAGTATCTACATTTTTACTACCCGTCAATGACAAAGCCGATTCCACCGGTTCGCTGGTTGTTCCTTCTGCAGTTGAAGGCACTACATCTTTTAACAAGACTATACCCCCAAGCCCACGACCTGTACTTTTCTCTTTTTCGGCGTCATTGATTGAATTGAACGAGTCACTTTTTGATCCCAAAGTGTTGTCTCCCACTTCGTCCAAAGGCGCTAATTTTAATTCCTTACTTAGAGAGCCAATTTCATTAATTACCCTGGGAATTGAGAGTTCTTCACTGGTACTGTCTATTTCTTTAACTTTTGAAGCATCAATTTCTTCTTGTAACTGCTCTGTCGAAGAACCACAAACATCATCTCCTTTACTACCATCTTCTGTTTTTTTGAAAGTGAAAGAGCCTGCAGCACCAGAAGAAACTTGCTTTAGACCCGTAGAGTCCATCGTATTACGCTCTACGCATACATCATGACTACACCGTTCAAGCCCATTGTCTTCTCCAATCACAACATACTTTACCGGTGTTATATCTGAGCTGGATTCCTGCGAAGTCTCTTTTTTCTTTTCAACACTACTGGTAACCGGTTCAGAAACAACATGAATCTCTTCCTCCTTGCCACGACTTTCTACTTCTTCGTCAGTATCAGAAAGAATGAAATCGTCAAGAAAATTAGAAGAGTTCTCTGAAAAATTAATCACTTATTTTTACTCACAGTTATGCTTCATTGCCGTCAAAAAAATTACGTTAAAAAGTAATGCACAATCAACGACAAGTAGCTTTCCGCTAATCTTTTGGAAATTTTACCCTTGACTTGATTCCGTGCTACTGCTTCTTCCTCGAAACTACCAGAAAGGTCTGACTCCCCATCAAGAACTTTCTTCTCAGCTTCCGCCACAGCTTCTTCTAACTTCTGCTTTTTATGTCTCCTTATCATTTCTTCTTGCTGCTCCTTGATCGTTTTCGTCTTCCTCCCAATAATTGAACTAAATCAATGACAACAAAAAACTAAGTGTTATAAGCAAGAACTGACAATAACAACAAAATAAAAAAACAAAAAAATACGGTTTTGAAAAGTAAACAACTGCGAGAGTCAACCAAATCAGAAAAAGCTAAGTACACACCTGCTCAACGGTTCACTAGCAGCCGTCTCATGAACGCTAGATTGTCCTATAACACGTGACAAAAATTTACCTAAAATTTTTACAAATTTACCCATCGTTAAAAACAAAACAAGTAATCATCAAAAAACCTTATCAAAAAAACCGAGTACACAAGCTTTTCCTATAAAAGAGTCCAGTTTTTAATCAAAAACTAGGCTCCTTCTAAAACTTCGGAATATTTCAACCCTTCAGCTTTCAAAACATTAAAGAAACCCCCAAGACCTAAAAAAACCGACAGGAACATAAAACCGGAATATACTACTGCCCACCAAATAAACTGGAATCTTAATTTCTCATAATATCTGAAAAAACGCTGAAAAACTCGTATATAAAAACCAAGTCACTAAAAATGACCCTCTTCCTCAGCATAACTAACAAAATGATCTCATGCCTTCGAATGCAGATCTTCATAGAAAATAACCCATTCTTCCCGAATAAAAACAAAAAATTAGACAGTAGACACTTACCATGGATATCTTCTATCTCCTGTAAACTATGCCCTTTTAATTTTCCACGTCTATCTCGCTTCAATGAACTGCTCGTGTGTTCTCTCTTCTTTAAATCAATTTCATTCACGGTACTGCTGCTGAAGTCCTGAAGCCTCTCAGAAAACTTTTCAAACCTCCGAAATCCACTACTTCCAGCTGAAAGAAAAAAAGGAAAATTCGAGCTTTTCAATAGTTTAGAAATCGAACTTACTTGTTCTTGAAGACGCACAAGACGAATTTTGAGAAGAATTCGCTACACAGTCAGAACAATTCCCAGAGACAGATGGAACATCAAAACGTCCAGTACTCTTTTTAACATCTTTACTGTCGGACTTTGAGGCAACATTCTTTTCTTCCTGCATTAAATTTTCTAGCTCACGAACATCTGAAAAACGTTGATGGCCTACACCATAGTGAACCAAAAAACGAATTGATACACCTATGACGATGAAATAAAATAAACAAACAAAACGTAGTTCCCACGACTTCTTCAAAAAAAAGACATGAATTAAAAAAGTAAAATTATATAAACATCTGATGTAAACCAAATACCATCTTCATCACTTGTCGCTGAGAAAGAATGTTGTGAGACAGCGCGAGTGCGTTTCGGTGAAATATCCTCTGCTGATGAAAAATGTGAAATCAGTTCGGTACCCATAAAACGTTCATATCTTTGTCGTAAATCTTCATCAAACAATTCATCCTTTACAGCTATCTTCGCTGAAAATAAGCTTAGTGGCACTGTAAGTAACAAGTGTTAAAAACAGTCAGAAATATTCATCACTTAAAAGAAAAACCTGCTCAAACTTGATTTCAGAAAATTATAGCTTTCCAAAGCAAGAACTGAAGACCTTGCAACAACAGAAAACTCTTTGCATAAAAGTACACTCTTTTATAAAGCCAGCGGCTCGAAAGTGGAATACTGAGCTTAAAAAATAATATAAGAAAGGCTAAAACACCAAACTGCAGAAGTCTTTGCTTAATCCAACCAAAAATACAGTTTCAAGTTAGGCTTGACTAAAAAAGTCTGAATTTGAAACGATAATGCTTTACATTAAAACTGAAAAGAGCTCTAGTGAAAATGATTCTGGGTTGACAGTATAAGAAATTAAGAGTCGCTCCAGGAAAACCCTTTTTGAAGAAAAACAAAAAGTCGCTGTTCCAGTAAAATAAATGTGTTCTGCTTTTACGCCGATTATAATGAGGAATATTACTATATAACAGTTTATAGAGCCATCATAAAGGAACCAAACTACAAAGAAATCTTCTCAATTCGTAATACCAAAACAACAGCAAGCGTATTTTAACAGTCTCGTGAAAGTGAAAGAGAAATGTCATTCTGAAAATTCAATTTTTCCTCAACGTCTACAAGATGAGACAAGAAATCACATGACACCAATGAAACTCCAAAAATAAGGCAAAAAAAAA